TCATTTTTAAAATAATTATTTGAATTACCATCAATCATCATCATCTTCATCACCATCATTTCTATTTTCATTTATCATTATTTTTTTATTATTATCTATATCATAATCATTATTAGTATTATCAACATCATCATAATTATAATTATCATTAGTAGTAGCCTAATTATAGTAGGCGTACTATCATTACCATTGTTAACATTATCATTATAATTAAAATTATCTATATTATTATCATCACCGTCATAATTACCATTATCATTAGTAGTAACAATAGTACTATCATTATCATACTTATCCTTATAAACATTATTATTATAATTGATATTATCTGTATTATTATTATCATTATAATTATCATACTTATTATTAATATTATTATCATTATCATTATTATCATCATCATCATTATAATCATCATTAATGCTATCACCATCATTATTATAGTTCTGGATTTCACAATCATTATTACTTCTATATTGTATTAATATTGATTAATGTTTTATGTATAATCTTTTTTACAATGATAATATATTTATTATTTCTGTATTCACTTTGTTTTTTAAGCTGACATAGGCAACCCAGACGTATGCCCATCAGGTAGCTGGCCTTACGAAGATAAGATCTGTTTTAATGCAGTAGACAATGGACTCGCATGGCCCACAGCAAGAGATACCTGCGCATCCGGCACTCCGTATGGCCAACTTGCCAAGATCCCTGACCAGGCTACCCAAGACTTCCTAGAGGGGAAACTTCAAGGCAGAACGAATTTTTACTGGATAGGAGCTTTTGAAGGGCTGAAGTGGTACTGGGAAAGATGTAAGCCGACCACCAAACCTCTCACCTACACCCACCAATATACAACGCACACACTGACATGCTTTTGGAACGGCGTTTTGATATCACGGATATTTGATAATAGGCAGTACAATACGCAATATTGCACCAATTTCTTTTTTGTTTCGTCTTCTTTTTAAGAATTCGTTTATCATTGAATCTTATTTGAAGGAAATGAAAACAAAGGCGCGCGCATTCACCGAGATTTAAATATAAAAAGTGAAACGTATCATACTTACGTCATGAAAGGGCTATCCAAGCACCGTGAAAAGTTCATTTGTATAAAAGCAGAAGAAAAAATAGAAAAATAATGGCGAAAGTTTGTTATGAATAGGACCAATGAAGGAGTTATAGATTGTCAAAATATGTAATCACTAAATCTATGCGAATCTCAAATTGTCTTTTGTTCAAGGAAGTGTGACGTACTTTAATACGGACATCTCTTCCGTTTGTCGTTTACAAAATTGCATTAACTCATGTATTTCTCCAAAGGGCCTTCTCTCTTGGAGCACTACCCTTAATCTAATGTTATGGATAACATATTATCATAGGTCCATTAAAAAGTTAAGAAAAAACTTCCTGAGTCATGCATTTCGAGAAATTTACATTTTAGGCATTTTGTGTGTTGAAACGAATGGGAAAGCTGTCCGGCGCTACGTCATAGTGACAAAACCGATTCATCCAGTTTGAGGTTCTCATACGTCATTATAACTTTCAAAGTGCATAACTTTCTTAGTTTTGTCGGATATTATTAAAAATTTCACCAGACTTTATTTCTGAATGGTCTGCTTTCTTTTAGGAGATTTTTCTATTAAAGTTGGATTTCTGTTTTTAATGATAAAAATACCTTTTTTGGTAATCCATTTGCTAAATCTGAAAGAGCCCTTTAAAGTCAGCCAAGTGTATGAAATCAATTTGCTTCTCTTGCTGCTCCCATACAGCCGATGCGGAATTGGAGTATTTTTCGTGGGCCGATGGAGAGCCGAACGGCGCAACTGACGGCAAAGTGTGCATTCAGCTCAGTGGGTTCGACTCGCCCACATCAGGAGATCACACCTACGATTGGAATGATGAGGATTGTTCCAAAGCTAGTTATTCGGACAGCGGCAAACAAAATTTCTTCATCTGTGAGTTTGGTAAGAAAATGTTGCTAAATTGAAACCAGTGCATAAACTTATCAGCTACGAATGTAATAATACTAATAATAGTAATAGGCATTTCTATAGCGCCATCTATCTAGATAATTCTATTCCGAGGCACATTTATTATTACCCTGGCTTTAGCCTAGCAGCCGTTTATACAGCAATCGTGTTCACTAGCCGACACGTATTAGATTAGGTCCATGATGTCTATTTCACATCAGGAGGAAAAATATTTTTGGAGAAAAATATATTCAAGAGAATTGTTTAGTGTCGTACCCAAGAAAATGAGGGATATTTACTTGTGTAATGGTTTGTACTGAACTTACTCAACATGATCAAGACTCATAATTCAAGATATTTGATTTAACCATTACCATAAAAACATACAAATAATAAGGCAAAATACAGTATGTAATATGGAAAGAACCAAAAGAAAAGCAAACACATGTAAGGAATAGCCCTGAAGGGAGAGAGAAAGGGAGAGAGAAAGAGAGAGAAAAGACAGGGATTCCTAATCTTCAATTCAAACATCATGTGCTAACTTTCATAGGACGTAGAGGTGTTGTGGTCCAGTGCATAAGTATCTGGACTGTAAACCACAAGGTATACTTGGTATACCGGGCAGAGACTGAACTTTCTAGAAATGTAATTTGTCTTTGAAATTCAGATACCGTCCTCCAAATAACTTTTTGGTTCCCTCTCTTCAAATTGATTTTAATCACTCGTGCGTAAAATATGCATTAAACGAAAGAGGAGGATCTAAGCTTTACAAATATGTGTAATTTATTAAATATAATTGTAATTAAGTTATGATAAAAGATCGATAATTTTCAAATTCGTTTTTTCTGGGACGCACTGTATAGTATACCATTGTCTTTGTTTGTTACAGAAATAACCTGCCCGGACGATCAGGACCTTAACAGTTTCACTCAAATATCTTACGGTGAAAACTGCGCTGTCTTCGTGAAAGAGGCGAGGGCCTGGGACGATGCATTAAACTACTGCGAGGCAAAGGGTGGGTGGCTTGTCGAGGTTATTACGGAAGTCCGGCAGCAGCTCCTGGTCCAAACAGCCAACGCCGAAAATGGTGATAACTCGTATCCGAACTGGTGGGTTGGAGGATTCCGAGATGATTCGAAGTCGGCCGATGAGCTGCTCTGGCTAGATGGTAAATAACCTTTAAGCAAAAAATGAAATAAACCGAGATTATAATATTCCCTCAGGAAAGAAGTTCAACGAACTGCTGATACACAAGAAGCATATAGTAGGAATCCACTGTTTCAGTATCTCTGAAATGTGGTACATCGGAAGCATGTTAGCCGTTATAAAAAATCTGTACATTCAGTATTCATACCCCCCCCCCCCATGTTTACGGCCCGATTGGTAGCCCACAGGTCGAACGGAATCCAGGAAACGTAGGGTATAGTAGTGGCTTCAAACTTACAATGCGATATGCATATCGATATTGGTAGAACGTGTAACAAGTAAAATCGCAAAGTGTTTTAGGAATATCTTTTGGTCATTCTTCCGCATGTTCACTTGCAATATCACGTATTGTTTTTTTTTTTTTTTTTTTCATGACAGGTGTAGGGTTAGGGTTTCGGGTTTTAGGTTTGGTTATGGATTACACTTAGGGTTGTAACAATGAATTTGATTAGTTCGATAGAATTCAAAAGTTATCTTCGCCAGTGCAAATGTGTCATATTAACAGGACGTCATTTGAAATTCGCTTAGAAAAAGGTGTAAGCTGCCTTTTCAGAGAGTCATATGGTCAAGTTACGATGAATTGATACAATTTATAACAGCCATTTTGTCTCTCTTTTTATGTTTACTTCTCCCTTCCCAATATGTCAGGTCCTGCAGTTTCTGAGGCATTCTGGTTTCCGGACGAACCGAACGGCGCTAACGAAAAATGCATCAATCTCCTCTCCGTCACAAACTCCTTCGAGTGGAATGACGAAAGGTGTGACACTCCACATGGATACATATGTCAATATCGTAAGTTATAGTATGAACAGTAGATTTATAAAATTAGGTAGGCCTATTCTAGTAAAGGTACTAAACCTTCTAGACCACAAACCTGCATGAGAAGAGCCTACATCATTCCGCTATCCATGGACATTAATTCGATACAAACGAAGTTACACAAATATGTTCATTATTTTAGTTAGACTTTGTAAAAATCGACGCACGCCATAAACAGCTGTGTCGAAAACATGTGCCGAGAACATGTGAACACCTAATGTCTACATTGGATTCCAAGTTTTATTATTAATTCATTTCTGGCAGGTTAATGGAATACCTCGTTTAAGTAAATCATGATGAGAAAAACATTCTTTATACAATTTTGTTCAGCTGGCCATCGTGGGCTGCAACAATGCAGTGACCCCGGGGCGCCTGCACACGGCACCTACATGACGTCTCATCCTGATTGGCTCTTTGGATCTTACGTTACTTTTTCGTGTGACGTAGGCTACGAGCTAGATGGAGAAGGACGGGTAGACTGCAGGCAAAATGGCACGTACACCGACGATCGTCCAGAATGTACCCGTAAGTCCAACATCAAATACGTTCTTTAAATGAAAAAAAGATTGGGGATCATGAGGGAATTTAAGAATGCAACTAAAATCTTAAAATTCAGTCTAAATCTACAAAAAATATTTGATATTGTTATTGTTCTAAGTGTCTCTTTTTATGTTCAGTAACAGAATAATAACTGATTCTATCCGGCGTTTAGAAAACGAAGTATTTCATGAAAATGAAATAATAAACTTGGGATTTATGTCGGAGGATTCAATGTAAAGAAATTAAATCTCTTTATGAATATTGTATCATTAATAATCTTTCTCTCTCTCTCTCTCTCTCTTTCACTTTCTCTCCTTTTATTCATGCGTGCTTCCTTTATGCGCTTAGAAACACAGTATTAAACGCTTCATAAATATTGTATATTATTATAATTTGTATAATTATTATCATCATCGTCATCACCATCATCATCATCATCTCCTTTTGTTACAGCGATTTCCTGCAATTCGTCACATCCTACATTGCCGCATTCGAGTCCATCGGTATCTACTTACCAATATCGGAATGTGGTGGTCTACCTTTGTCAGGAATTATACTATCCAGTTGGTGACGTCACTTCCGTCTGTCAGGCCGATGGTAATTGGAGTCAACCTACAGGGAGTTGTGAAGGTAAAGAATTTTGTTCCAGATCGCAGAACATCCAAAGTATCAATCTAAAGCTACACGATACGACTGCGGTCCGAATTTAGATGTGAAAAATAATTTCATTAGATATAGAAATGTATCCAAATATATATATTTTTGTTATTTGCAATTGATCTCAAACATTTGTGTTACGGTCCGGACCCAGAATAATGATATGAATGCCGGAGATTGAAATTGTGCTTATTTCAACTCTTCCAGGCGGAATTAAAGGGGATGTAGCATGGCAAATACTGGTTAACGCTATCTACGACTTCTTTTGGACAACTGAACGTAAACGAATGGACTTGATTATAGCGGTCAGCGCGCTAGCGTTCGAGAAACAGACCGAAGTTCTCCTCACGCTTCGGTTTCGCGTATGCTGTACGCACATGAATACTGCGGTCGCGTCGTCCGTAGTCGTACCGCTTAGGCCCGAGTCAGGCCACGGGAAAGACATATTGTCTCGTCATACTATACACCCCATTTAATCCTAAAAAGGCTGGGCTATTTGAGGTCTTAATACGGGCGGGGGTATATGTGCCCCCCCCCCCCCTAAGATCTCGGCCGTGAAAGTGTATAGAATACTATGGTAAATTTAATTTTACGAAAAATTCACTTATTTGCATATTTTATGGTAATTTATGCAAATAAGGTAATAAAATTCCCCCTTTTACCCATAAATCATATATTCTTTATATTTAAGCATTCTTTTTAATATGTATTCATTAGACCATTTGAAACAATAATACGACAAAAAAAAATTGGAACGGCGCGCCATCTGTATACGTTCCCGAACAAGCAGAAAAATCGCGGGGGGATAATGGGCCCCCCGGCCTTATTAGGGTTGAGATCAAATCGGCTTGAATTTTGTCTAAAAGCTACTGAGCATGATATTGAGAACGAATGCATTTCCTTCGATCACTTCTTCAGAATATACAGGAAATTCAACACCTCCACCTGCAACCCCAGAAACGGGAAATGCGACTACTCCGTCTTCGGGAACGGGTCATGCCACTACACCGTCTTTGGGAACGGGTCATGCTACTACACCGTCTTTGGGAACGGGTCATGCTACTACACCGTCTTTGGGAACGGGTCATGCTACTACACCGTCTTTGGGAACGGGTCATGCGACTACACCGTCTTTGGGAACGGGTAATGCGACTACTCCGTCTTCGGGAACGGGTAATGCGACTACTCCGTCTTCGGGAACGGGTAATGCGACTACTCCGTCTTCGGAAACGGAAAAGGTGACCACCCCATCTTCAGGAACAGGAAATTGGACCACTCCGACTTTGGGATCGGGAAATTGGACTACTTCGACTTCGGGAACGGGAAATACAACTACTCCATCGTACGGAAAAACAACTGTGTCTTCAAGGACAACACCATCGACAGGTATTCCACATATTATTATCATTATTATTATCATTATTATCATGATTGTTATTATGAGTAATGGTAGTATCATCATAAAAGGATCATTAAAAATCTGCGCAGCTATTATTTAAATCTGACAAAAAATGATAATGTATCCATCAATGCTTGATATCATCTGATTATTTATATTCTAAGCAGTCATTTTGCCGAAATATTGTCAAAATCCAAGCAATAACAATATTATTTTCACAAGAGAAGGCGACAGTAAGATTTTGACATTGATAACAACAAAGTTTCCAATGTTCTTACTCGAAGAAAAAAATGTGCAAAAAAGTGCAAAAGTAAACTTGATCACTTCCAAATAAGTTATCATCTATTTTGGAAGTGAATTTGGGCCACTACACCTATACCTATGTTTCGAAATATCTTAAAGAGGCATGTTCCCCGTATTCCAGAGGGCGTTCAAAATACGTACCCGCTGGCGGACGGTGCTAGCTGCCTATTGACACCAACAGAATACGGCTCTTACGCAGATGGCATGTTCCGAATGCTCGGACAATACCGATTATCGCATACATGTGCCGAAGTAATGCCAATCGCAGTTCGGCTCTAAGATTCGGCTGCTGTTTCCGCCCACTTTCGTGACGTCGCGATCGTCAGCGATCAGCTGGCTTGGCGAAGGCAGGCCAGGCCGCGCGTACTTTGATTGACAGCTGTATGCAAATTAGAACTCGATCTTCGGAACCAAGATGGCGATGACTATAGAGCAGCGATAACTACACTGGCGGGAACATGCCACTTTAAACACTATTAACAAATAAAGTTATCTGCGTCTCTATCTGACCCCCTCCCCCCTCCCTCGATCTCCCCGCCTCTCTCCCTCTCCCCCCCCCCCCCCCTCCTCTCTCTCTCTCTCTCTCTCTCTCTCTCTCTTTCCCCTTTTCTATCTATCTTCTTACTTTTACACTAACGTAATTGCAGCTTATATCACAATTTCTTTTTTAATACAAAATCTTGCAGACGACACGATCACATTGCAATGTGGTTATTTCAGCATGACAGTGACGATCCCACTCACCCTCGTCGGCGGAACGATGAACGGTGAGGACCTACATCTCCTAGGCGATGACGACTGCACGGGAATGATCTCTGAAGATACTCGCTTCATTAGTATCGCAACTAACCTCACTGACTGCAATAACGCAATCACGGTAATATATATTAAGCTGTGCTCGTGGTGATAGATAAATTCGATTCTATATTTACTGAATGGCCCTGAGTGGGATACAAAGGTATATCCTACGAGCTGATTCCTCGAGTCTGCGATGAACCCTTTTGTCCCAGGATAGGAAAGTGGAGATATTGTCGATGGCAAGGGTATAAAGGGCTTATTTTGTACTTGAATGGGTCTGCAATAATGCTGAAATCAGTGTTCATGACAATAACTGTTATGAGCACTGATTTCAGCATTTGACAGAACTGCGACTTTTTAAAAGAGCAAAGCAGACAATCGGATAATATTTCAAAGAAGACTCGATGTAAGGGTAACATTCTGTTTTAAAGGTGGGGAAAGGTATGGGTCATTTGGCACACAAGGCAGATAATAAATCAGAATATGCAATTATTCTCTCAGGAAAAGCATCTTTTTCAATCAATAAGCGGGCACTGTTTCGATTGCTCGTTGGATATTTATTGATTTGGGAAAATCTAAGATTCTCATCCCGAAAACTCTCCCATATCCTTGGTAACTGTTAATTTAAATGCATCTGTCCGTATGTGATACTAACGTTTTCACTGTGTTATCAAAATCTGGCACAGAATGGATTTTGTAATTGTCCAAGGATAAATGATCATCAAGACATTTTTTCTTTCCATTTGTTGATTAGCATCAATTCAAACATTTGACAAACAAAGTAAACAAATTTAAGAAAAGACGATGTCTCAGTGTCAACTTAAAAGATTTGCCTATCAATAGTATTGCTGATGTTCTCTATCCCAAATACAACTACTTCGTCTCTGATTATTTGGAAGAATAAGTCGCACACAAGTTTACGACTTTTCAATACCCGTTTACGTCTCAGAATCACGCTTGAATTCTTTCAATTCACTGGCATAGGTGCTTACATTTTAATTATTTTCAATCAAATGTATCATGTAATTGGTTGAAAGTTGAATCAAATTTCTAAACAAAATAACTCAAACTTCCTTGAAATCACATTGGCTTACAAATATATAAGTTACGTTTTGCCATGAAACGTCGTGTTGTGCGCTTTGGAATAATTAGCTCTTTCTTGTCTCATTCATCATGGGATAGATATACCAAAGGCTTCACGACAATTTAACTGTTTACAAGGCAAGATTAACCTATACCCATGCATGTTAAAGGGTTTTCATGGAGATAATCAAGACCAGAATTGGTAAAATGGCGAAGCTATTGTGTACGTTTCACAAAGCAATCTTTCCATCAAGTGCTGTCTATATAGTATCTTGCAAAATACCACGTGTGACATGAGTGAACGTGCAAAGATCCGAACCAACCAAAATTATATTCTTCTCTTCAATTTTCAGGAGGACGATGAACATATCGTTTACAGCAACACTGTCGTAACTCGGGAGAGTGAAGGCACAATCACTCGACTCAAACAGGTCACTGTACCGTTCTACTGTTCCTACAACCGATCTGAACAGGTGGGACTACGATCCTACCGGGTCACCGATTACCAACTTAATTTTACCGAGGTTTCCACGGGACGTTATAAATTCGCACTGGATATCTTCAAAGACGACGATTTCGAAGAGAAGTATGCCGACTCCGAATACCCTGTGGATGTGAACCTTGACGAGGAGCTGTATTTCGGTGCATCGGTCCCTTCACAAGATGGCGCCTTAGATCTGTCAATCAGAAGCTGCGTGGCTACACCATCTGCCTCGTACAACGATGAACAGTGGACCATCATCCGAGATGGGTAGGGCTCTGCTCCACTGGCGTAGCTACAGACGGGCATGAGGGTTCCCCCTCCCATCCACATCGCATGGTGAAAATGGGAAAGAACATGTGATAAATTAGAGGAAGGAAAAGGGAAATGGGTAGTGACAAGAAAAGAAGGCGTTTAGACCACCTCCCGGACTCGTCTAAACGTTTATTAAACATGATAGTCAGATGATACTAATTGTTTCTAATTTTTGTTATCAACCTGAACTTAGCTGTTTACTCTCAAGTTCCGATGGCACCAACATCCAAACACTCTGATATTCCGATAAACACAATGTCAAAAACTTGCATAGGTGTTTGTTGCTTTTTGTTATTGTGTATATTAACATGATTAAATGATTTATTTATCAAAATCAGGTGTGCCTTTGAAACGTCGACTCACATCGATGATGGCGCTCTTGGTTTTGTGGCTGTCACCATAAATACCTTCCGGTTCGTCGAGCTGGGGAATAGGGTAAGTCGCTTGTTTTCTTAAACCTAGTTCGGGGTTTGCGCCAAGCGATCAATGAAAATTATAATTTGTTGGTGATTTAGAAAATGTGCCCATCCTCTTGGCTTTTAATCTCGAGGCTAAGAATCCCGCAATTTCTAATCATGTTCTTTGATTGTCATTTTTTTTACCCGAATGGAGTAAATATTCTCATAAAACCTGGACGGGAAGAACACGTACTCCTGAAATACTGTGAGTGATGTAATTTAAGCGTGACCAAAGCTCGGGTAGTACTGGAACTGAGCAACGAGTACCCCTGTTCGTATAAGCTTAATACAGAAATTCAAATGTCAAACTTACTGGAAACTGATCTTGGTCTGTTAAAAGCCAGAAGAAACGTTAACTGTTATGATTGTGCACAGAGATATGCCTTTCTGGCTCAAAAGAGACGTCATCACGTTTCTAAGTTTGGTGAAATTTCATTCAGCAGGAAAGTTCCTGCGATGTAAACCATTGACTGAAGATACTTACGACAGTTCTTGATCGTGATATTTTCTACCCTCTTGCAAAGGTTTATATCCACTGCGACCTTTTGGTATGCCAGGCAACCACCGGAAATGAAACATCGGAATGTGACCCAGGTTGCGTCGGATCTTCCGGAAACCGTGATCGGCGAGACATCGTAGAAAAATACAGTCTAGACAAGAAGAGGATCACCAAGGGACCTTTAAGATTAAGAAGAAATTCTTATTTCAATCCGTCCCTGAACGACATGTTCAACTCCGAAGGTAAAGTTACATTAATTTGGAAAGAATAAAGGAATAAATCTAAGCTACATTTATATGCCTCATTGTAGGTGATTATTGTTTTAGTGGGTGTGAACTCCATTCTCCTCGTTTGCGTTTACAACAAAGAAAAATGTTCTTCAAGTCAATATTTTTATTATTTGATAATATTTTGTTCGGTTTTTTTTCGGAGATTAAAAGTTTGCTAATCGTAAAATGATTTCAACGAAACGGTCTCTTTTCAGACGGACGACACTTTAATAGTGAGACATTCACAGGGGAAATAATTAAGCATAATGGGAAAATTGAAATATGAAAAGTACTAAATATTAAACAAAGCTTAGAATACCCATCATTAGACATTGTAGATTTCAATCTAAACACTTTTGAAATTATAATTTGTGGTAATTGCATCAGAGGTCGAGATAAAGAAATAAAATTGGATCCATTTAAAAGGTAAATACAAGAGGCAATATCAAAACAAAACACGTGATTTTAAAGTGACATGTTCTTTCACATCTATTCATTTATTTTGATTTCCGGATTACGGATGATTAGATTTAATTATTTATTTAAAACAGTTTATTAATAAGAAATCTTTCACGGCCAAATGACCGAATTGCAGATTCTTTTACAATCATTATATAAAAATGGATACATAAATTAACAATAACACATTTTTGACAAATGACATACGCCAGGGCATCAATAAAAGTTTATCATGATAAATATCAGGATATTAGGCATAGCAACAGGTTGCGACAAATTCGAGGTGGATATCCAAAATAAAAAATAATGATTTAAATTAACACCAGAACTAGCCTTAAGACAGGCAACGATCAAAGAGGACAGTTCTTTTTCATCACTGCAGAGAATCCAGCTTTCCATTATGACTTTAACCCCTGGATCGTGGTGACCGTTGCCTTGGCAACTATTTGCATCATCATCGTCGTCATGCTTTCCGTCATGCTCCGGAAGATGACTTCATATGCGCGTCGCATGAAGCCAGTATGTGTTGGCGACGAAGCATGTGAGGCACTCCTGGGACTTAAAACAAATCTTTAAAAAAGGGAACACGGAGACACAACAGCTGCTTTTTAAACAAAACGTTTAATTCATGTTATGAAGCAATTACGATATGTTGATTATGTGGTACATACGAATAGATATAGATATAGCTATATACTGTACGCATATCGAGTTATCAAAATTTAAATAAGTCGACTCAATCTTGTTTATATAAAATCCCAGGCACTGCACACACGAATGGGTATATGTATGTGGGACTTCACACATGTGCATGAAAGTGTGCTCCACACTATTCAGCCATAAGTCTAATTATAATTCGATTTGATGAGCGATGACCCCCTTCAGGGTACATTTCTAATTATTATGATGATGACATTCAAACTAGCATAGTGTACAAAGAATGAAAAAGAAATGTAAAAAACTACGCCTTTTATAGTAACATGATAAGAATGTATAAGGGAAAACAAAATGTAAATCTTCGAGCAACCAAATAAAAATTAAGTTTATGTCATGGGTATTTTCAGGAAATTAGTCCATTAGTCGTGTTATAACCATGAATATATTGGATCAGTTTAAATATTCCTATTCTTGCTCATAATTTGAATATGATGGCATTTGATGAGAGATAATCCCCTTCAGGGTACATTTCTAATTGGATGACATTCAGAACAAGCATAGTGAACAAAGAATAACAAATAATTAAAAAGAATAAGCCTTCTCTAGTGATACGGTAAGAATGTATGAGATAAAAACAAAATAAAAATCTTCGAGCAACCAAATAAAAATTAAGTTATGTCATGGGTATTTTTTAATGAGAGATGAGTCGCTGTATTCAGATAATCAGTCCATTAGTGTTATAACCATGAATATATTGGATCAGCTTAAATCTTCCTATTCTTGCTCTATTTTTCATTAATTACGCATCCACTTTAAACGCATACAGTATACTCCTAATCAGTAAGAAAATGCAAATATTCGCAAAAGTAGATATCATGAATACTTTTATTTCTTTTTCTCTCCTTTTCAATGAATAAAGGTAAATGTAACAATCATGTAATTTGTCAACGGTGTATTTTATTCACACTCATGACACGTATTCATCTGTTCATCCAAATCCTTTTATTCAGTATCATCTTTCCCTCCGGAAGATATTACAAATATATGGACTTCCCAGATAACTGAAGGTTCATCAGACCAATGACCAAGACTAAAAACCCAGAGACAAAATTTATACGAGAACGAGTTTCGAAAGAATGTCCTGGAGACTAACATTTAACAATCTTTAGTTTTGCTCTCGTTGAACTTTGGCCTATTTTCCACCTCTTTTCATTAACCTCAGGGAAATCGAAAGGTTCACCACGATGTAAAAAAATAATGGGGCCGATATTGATGATTACAATGACAATGATGATGATGATGATAATGTGCTGATGAGGAGGAGGAGGAGGAAAATGATAACGATATTGATGATGATGGTGAAATGGTGATGCTGATGATGAAGATGATAGTGGTGCTGATGAGGAGGAGGAGGAGGAGAATGGTAACGATATTGATGATGATGGTGAAATGGTGATGCTGATGATGGAGATGATAGTGGTGCTGATGAGGAGGAGGAGGAGGAGAATGGTAACGATATTGATGATGATGGTGAAATGGTGATGCTGATGATGGAGATGATAGTGGTGCCGATGAGGAGGAGGAGGAGGAGAATGGTAACGATATTGATGATGATGGTGAAATGGTGATGCTGATGATGGAGATGATAGTGGTGCTGATGAGAAGGAGGAGGAGAATGGTAACGATATTGATGATGATGGTGAAATGGTGATGCTGATGATGGAGATGATAGTGGTGCTGATGAGGAGGAGGAGGAGGAGGAGAATGGTAACGATATTGATGATGATGGTGAAATGGTGATGCTGATGATGGAGATGATAGTGGTGCTGTTGAGGAGGAGGAGGAGGAGAATGGTAACGATATTGATGATGATGGTGAAATGGTGATGCTGATGATGGAGATGATAGTGGTGCTGATGAGGAGGAGGAGGAGGAGAATGGTAACGATATTGATGATGATGGTGAAATGGTGATGCTGATGATGGAGATGATAGTGGTGCTGTTGAGGAGGAGGAGGAGGAGAATGGTAACGATATTGATGATGATGGTGAAATGGTGATGCTGATGATGGAGATGATAGTGGTGCTGATGAGGAGGAGGAGGAGGAGAATGGTAACGATATTGATGATGATGGTGAAATGGTGATGCTGATGATGGAGATGATAGTGGTGCTGATGAGGAGGAGGAGGAGGAGGAGGAGGAGAATGGTAACGATATTGATGATGATGGTGAAACGGTGATGCTGATGATGGAGATGATAGTGGTGCTGATGAGGAGGAGGAGGAGGAGAATGGTAACGATATTGATGATGATGGTGAAATGGTGATGCTGATGATGGAGATGATAGTGGTGCTGATGAGGAGGAGGAGGAGGAGGAGGAGAATGGTAACGATATTGATGATGATGGTGAAATGGTGATGCTGATGATGGAGATGATAGTGGTGCTGATGAGGAGGAGGAGGAGGAGAATGGTAACGATATTGATGATGATGGTGAAATGGTGATGCTGATGATGGAGATGATAGTGGTGCTGATGAGGAGGAGGAGGAGGAGAATGGTAACGATATTGATGATGATGGTGAAATGGTGATGCTGATGATGGAGATGATAGTGGTGCTGATGAGGAGGAGGAGGAGGAGGAGGAGAATGGTAACGATATTGATGATGATGGTGAAACGGTGATGCTGATGATGGAGATGATAGTGGTGCTGATGAGGAGGAGGAGGAGGAGAATGGTAACGATATTGATGATGATGGTGAAATGGTGATGCTGATGATGGAGATGATAGTGGTGCTGTTGAGGAGGAGGAGGAGGAGAATGGTAACGATATTGATGATGATGATGGTGAAATGGTGATGCTGATGATGGAGATGATAATGGTAATCATGGTGATGATGAAAATGGTGATAGTGATAATGTGAATGTTGATACACATGTTAATAACGATGATGATTAGATGACGGTTTTATGATTATTATAATACTGATTTACAGCATCTTTTGTGCGCCATTTATACATTCAAGCTTCTCTAGTCACGTCGGTATTCACATGATATGCTGAAATGTTTTGAGGCATATTATGTGTCTGTCTCTATATCTATTCCTCTGTCTCTCTTTCTCAATCTCTGTGTTTGTATGTGTGTTTTCTCCTCCTATTAATATTCACATTATTCCATCTCCCTCTTTCCTTTCCTTGCCCTTTTCTTTCTCTCTCTCTCTCTTTCACTGTTTGTCACTCTCTCCTTTGTTATCTCCCTATATACTATTAATATATCTAATATATCTAGCCTTCATGTTCTATTTGATATCACAAGTGTAGGCCAACTGATGCATCGTATTAGTCTCTGTATCTTTTGTCTTGTTTATACCTTATTTCTTTGTACATCTTTATATATGTTACTTATTGTTAAAACCTCTTTGCATTTAAATGCATTATTTTTAATGTAAAAAGCCCCTCTCACACTATGCTGATGGTCAGTTTTATACACCAATGAATAAATATTAAATATTAAATAAGTGAATAGTTTTATAAATGTAAATTTCACTAAGAACTTAAAAGGGAGTGAGTTACACAAGCAAGGAGGGAAGGATGAAAAGGCATGGTTTCGTATAGAGTACCCAAGTATGACGTCATACTGGCCAGCTGACAAGGTTCTGGTTCTTACAAATGTTGTGCTAAACAATGTAGTCCATGGTGATCATGCTACCAGCGCCGAACACTTTGTCCTACTCCTGTCTGTTGCTGGAATGATTTCGCGATGAACCTCATCCGCTGGCTGTATTGTGTAGAGCCGGTAGCCTGGACGACGAGCGAATATGACGTTAGCCCTTTGGTACTCTATGTCCCATTAGATAATTCATAAGCCATTTTGAGAGTGAGATCGAATGACTCTTTGCCATAACGAAGCTGATGCTCCTCTTCATATACAGATAGTTAGACTAAGTACCACCCTGGCCCTAAAAAGTTCCCATATACTGTTCAATAATGACTTAGTTTGAAAATTCAGGATAAGGTATTGATGCAAAGCAGCTCATTTTAGTCCATGACGGAATTAAAGAAATTATTTAAAACATGTATTTATTTATTGGAATAATTTATTACACTTTGTGCAATAAACAAATTATTCACAAGGTTTAAGCGGGCCTGATTTCAAAGGCCGTTTATAATTTCATCAAATAAAAATAATACCATTGCCATTTATTAACATTATACGGATATTACACGCTATACGTCATTCTACATAACAAATTGTATGAACCGATTGATTTAGAAATTTCCCGCGTGTCATTATATTTTACCAAGCCCACAAGTCGAGGCTGAAATAGAATAGCACGAGGGGAAGTAATTTATTTAGAGATGAATATGTAATAATGAACATATGTTATAATTATCAATATTGATTTTTATTTAAGTTTTAGGGGCTTGCGTCAAACAAACAATTTTTTCTTTATTAAATTAAAATAGCATGCCCCTCCATTTTATTGCATACATTAGGTTAACAATGTTCCATTATTATTTTCACTTCTTTTATACAATCGTATTACATAATTTGTTTATGCCATTATTGAAATTATATGTGCTTTGTACATAATGTTTTTTTTTATTTAAATATGTCGAAACGGAAATTAAATCATCCAACCAAATCAAGAAATGCATTAAATATTTGCGATATAAAATGGAGGGTATTTGCGATCCTTTGGAGTCAAGCCTTATCGATAAGATTCAGGTTAACTTCGCGTGATATCCCCGCAGTATACAGTGCAAACAATGGATACATGCAGGGGAAAGGGGTGCGCAGACTAATTCACCTTTGCACGCGTTTAACCGTGCAAAAAGATAATGTTGTATTGCATTGTTCGCTCGTGCACATACAACAAAATGGCGAGTGTCACGTGACACCTTTTCAACCAATGGGAAACAAATATCGTAAATTCTCGTTTGATAAATTAGTTTAACGTGGGTCATTAACGCTAATGACCGGCGCCCAGTTCTTGACTTTGATTAATTATATATCATCAAGCCCAGGGGGTCAATTCTAATCTTCATAATTCACTACTGTTTGAAGGCTAATATGCCTTCCTTTGGTGATTTACCCGATTATTCCCCAAAGTTTATTGTACCAATATTCACCCCTCTTCGTTACCCTTGTAAAATCCTTGTTCATAGATGGTTATATAATTTCAATTTCGTGGTGGATCGTGTTTTAAAATAATATTATCATTTACATCAGCGGATTTTTCAACAGATCATTGGACTGTAACAATAAAATCAGAGGACGTAAGTTAGCAGAAAATATTGCTCTTACTATGGATTTTTTAAACAATCCATAAGTGAACTTAGAGTTCCTGAGGGGGGCTTTGGGCCCCAGTGGAGGAAAAAATATTGTTTAAAGAAATTTCTATCCCCTCGCCGTCATCTCTTAAATGGAGCGGCAGGCCCGACCTTTGTTCATCATATTTGGGGGATTTTCTTGTGTAATGCCCCCTCCCCTCCCATGTCAATATCGGATCCGCCCATGCAGCCTTAAATGAATATTGGAAATAGATACTGTAGATATCCAGTCAAGAATTAATTATTGTAACTGAGTAAATTACGTTATGTTTAAACACGATAAGGTTGAATATGCAACCGAGATAAGAGGGTGGAAAAACAACCAATTAATGAATAAGTGTACAAGAGAAAGACCACTCAAAAGACAATGGGAAAGGGAGATTAGACCAAAAGGGAGTGACACCTCATGGTTGATGAAAATGATGCAGCAACGGAAAATTGTGTGGTTTTTGAGATGCTTGATGTTGCTCCAAACTCTTCTGGCAACTTCAGGTATGTATCCGATGTTTTCGTCGTAGTAGTAGTGATAGGAGTATCAACAGCAGCAGCTAACAGTAAGAGTGTTGTATTATAATTAGTATAGTAGCGGTGGTGGTTTTGGTGGTAGAATTGGTGGTATTGATAGTAGCTTTAGTAACAGGAGTAGTAGAAGTAGTAGTAGTGGTAGTAGTAGTAGTAAAAGTAGTAGTAGAAGTAATAGTATTTTGGTATTGGCAGTAGTAGTAGTAGTAGTGATAGAAGTAGTAGTAGTAGTAGTAGTAGTAGTAGTAGAATAGTAGTAGTAGTAGTAGTAGTAGTAGTAGTACTATAGTAGTAGTTATACTGAAGGCAAAGGTATAATAGCATTTTGTGTTGTTGCGCTTGTTGCGGTTCTGTATTTGTTCTTGCTTTTGAATATGTTGATGATGATGTACTTCTTTGCTTAAAGACAAAACCACCCCTTCATGTCGTCTTAAATTTTACTTCTGGACATATACATAACAATAATAAATAATAATAGTGGTTTCTTGTATAGCGCTCATGTCAGTCAGATTTGACCCTCATGGCGCTCCCGATTATTACCCTTACATGATAGAGGCAAACTGTTTTATGACGAACTAAACATTTTTATTCATTATAAGAATATTATTCCCACTTCCTACCCATCAACCAAGCGGACCCATGCGTCACCCCACCATCTCTCCAAAACGGCCGCGTCGCATACGGTGATGACGTGTATATGATTTACGCGTGTGATCCTGGTCACCTGATGGACGCCGAACAAGACTCGGTGGTCCTGCTTTGCAATACTTCATCGGGGGAATGGAGCGGCAGGATGCCGATTTGTAATCGTAAGTATAGCCTTATGTTGATCTTTCCTTCTTGGAGGTGGTGGAAATATTCGTTGAGCTAATCGTGGCAGTCTTTCATTTCTGTGAACTGTCAGAATCCCCCCCAAATAAAAGTATTTATGTTATTATAATCTTTATTATTACTATTTTGTGATTATCATTAATGTTATCATGAATATGAATAACGTCATCAATATCGTTAGGAGAATTATTATTGCTATTATCATTATTATTATTATTATTATCATTATAATTATCATCGTTGATCTTATTGTTATTATAATTATTTAGAAATTGTAACGTAAATTGCACATAAATGTGCTGTAAGGTATAGTGTTACATAAAACCTTTACATTCGTACAATCAGGGGGATGTTTCATCTAGAGGATCTCACCGGGACTAGAGAAATTCAAATGGTAACATCCAGAAAAACGCACAACACACTCACGTACGCAGGCGCAGACGAGGGGATGTAAGAATCAATAAGCATACGTAATTCCGAAAGGAGGCAAGAGAAACGGTTAATCAAAGTTGTTAAAATTATAGATTTCCGTTATGTATGTTACAAAAGAAATCGGGTTGGGTTCGATGTGGATCAATTTAAATTTATGACAATTATAGAACATTTCTTTCACATGAAACTGAAAATGAAAAGATGTTCTCGACGTTCTCGTCCATCTATCTCATTCTCTTCCGATTCCTTTATCCTCTCTACTGCACAAAGGTATCCAATGCCCTGATCCCGCCGTGCCAAACTTCGGATCAGTCGAAGGATCTGGACGTTCCTATGGCGACGAGGTCACGTTCTCCTGCGAGTCAAACTTTCGTCTGTTGGACCCTACGGTGACAAGCACATGCACACAGTATGGAAGCTGGTCCGAGAAAACACCGACATGCATGCGTAAGTAGTACCAAAATAAATTAATACGTACAAAAATGACGTATGGACACATTTCTATGCTAAATTATATAAATACATTTTCTCAGTATCCTTCTTCGAGTTATCACATTTTCTCTCTTCCCTAGGTCGGCTCCCGGATTTTGTCAAGGGGTCCAATACACCCAAACCGATAACAAACATCGTGACCCCCCCCCCCCCCCCCCCCCCCCCCGGGGTCCACTTTCTCTCTCTCTCTCTCTCTATCCTCTCCTTAAACTCCTTAAACTCCTTTTAAACTATATTTTTGGACGCTCCCTCTCTAAAGGGCACCAACTCCCGGTATAAAACTGAGGATAAAACTGAGGTTATACATGTAACATCTCGATTCAGAAAGTCTTCCCATTTACCATCTGTCGAAATTGCTAATGTTCCGATACAACCTGTCAAAAGTGCACGTAACCTTGGTGTCATCTTTGAAAATGATCTTAGGATGGATGATTATATAAAAAAAAAATATTTGTCGCTCAGCTTCATATGCCTTGTACAAGATAGGTCGTATTAGGAATTTTCTTGATCAAAAATCTACCGAAACGCTTATACATGCATTTATTACATGCCGTCTTGATCAATGCAATAGCCTTCTTTATGGCCTTTCGGACTCGCACATTGCAAAACTCCATAGAATCCAAAACTCTGCTGCCAGCCTTGTAACACGCACGCGTTCTTGTGAACACATCACCCCAGTACTTCGCGAATTGCATTGGTTGCCGGTGACGTACCGCATTATGTACAAAATCTTAGTTTTAACTTATAAATGCATTCATGAATTGGCACCAATTTATCTGCAAGAATTAATCGAGGAATACAAACCCTCGCGCAGTTTACGGTCATCTTCACAATTAAACCTTGTATCTATTTCTGTGTCAACTCTTTCTTATGGTAATCGCTCCTTTCGCAAAGCTTCTGCTGAACTTTGGAACAGATTACCTTTAAATGTAAAAAACTGTGAAACTGTTAACCTATTCAAAACTAGTCTCAAGACACATTTATTCAAAATAGCGTTCAATTATTAATTAACTCTGTTCACTTTGACGTGTATTCCATATGTATTGTAATTTGTATGTTTATTTGCATTTTTAGTTTTGTATAAGATGTAATTGTATATCAGTCTATTTTTTGTGTATAGCGCTTAGAGACTTCAGTGGTAAGCGCTTTATAAGTAACGTTTTTATTATTATTATTATTATTATAAAGGTTCTTAAAAGACATTAATACTGAGTTGGCTACGGGGAACATAATCATGGCATGTAGCCATCAATCGGAATATCGGGAGGAGAAAATGAATGGGGGATATTTAGAGAAAGAGAGAGAGAAGAAAAAAGAAAACAAAAAAGGATAAAGGGAAGGGATATGAAAATACATGATACAACCCCGTTGTATTTGCATTCCAATCTCCTAGCAAAACTACTACCTCCCCCGCCCTTTCAGCCAGCCCCTCATTAGCTGACCCCAGCTACGTATAACCCCTCCGCGACTAACACTGCTAGTCTTGAAAACGCTGTCTATTTGCTATACGCAACCTCTATAATTATTCACTTTAATTATTATTAATTATAATTCGCTTTTGTTTCTTCTTACAATACAGCTGATCTGTCAAACGTGGATGTATGCCCATCGGGTAGCTGGAATTACATAGATGAGGCATGCTTCCTGGCAAGTGATGACGGTAAGGATTGGGCGGAGGCCAGAGATGATTGTGCAACTATCTCTCCTGACAACCCTTATGGCCAACTAGCCAAAATCCCTGACCAGTCAACCCAAGAGTTCCTAGCGGGGAAACTTCAAGGCAGAATCAATTCCTACTGGATAGGTGCTTTTGAAGGGCTAAAGTGGTACTGGGAAGGATGTAAGTTCTTCTGTTTTTAATTATCTTATTATAAACTATTAATCGAAAAACATACGAGTGGGGCTTGGACCTTCTACTTGTTTTAGCAACATGTATACCAATGTATATTAATGACAAAAGAACATTCTAAATGACAATTTTGGCTCTTTCTCTTCGCCCCCTCGCGGAAAAATAGTGAAATGCTGATCTTGGGCAACAAGTTGCCAAAGTATCCATAAATTCGTCCGGCACTCTTTCGTAAACATACAAAAATAATATGTTCCTTGCTATTCCCATACCCTTCCCCACTTCCTGGTTTTACCTTTCAGCGGATTCCGAAGCTCAATATTTTTCATGGGCCGACGGAGAACCTAACGGCGCAACTGACGAAAAAATCTGCATTCAACTCAAAGGGGTACCCTCTTCGGAATTCGACAACTACGATTGGAATGATGAGAGTTGCGGAGTTTCTAATCCGTTTATCTGCGAGTTCGGTAAGGAGAAAGATGTTTCTCGCAGTAATTGTTTAGAAATCATATGTGAACTGTTCCTAATCTTTCCACGATAAGTAATATAGATGATCATGATGTTACGAAATTTGTGTAAAAAGTAGGTAAACATGAATGTGTTTTCCAAACCCTTAAGCTAGTCGATGGTGACTTCTAGGATAATCCGAAAAAACATGATGCCAGAGGAAAACATATCATTTTAAAAAGTCAAATTAGATTGAGTTTCCAATGCTACATGCCATGTGAAGAGGCTTCACTTGTACACAATAATTCATAGCAGGCATCTAAAATTAGCAATGGTTGAGAGGTCGAGTAGTTGACTCATAACCGGAAAGTCCCACGTTTGGAACTAATGCGACACTGCTCAATGCTCGAGATAAATGCCTTTATAGGTAAAACATCAATTATCAAGTACTTCCGATATGAATCAAGGCCGTAGGTTCCCTGCTGGCATATCGACAAGCATATGCAACACGGTTGCAAAGACTTTTGAAAGATCAACCTGAGGCAAGTCCAATGGCCTATTATATTACCTGATTAAATCTGCGAACATTACTATGTCGTATTACATAATCTTTTTAATTATTTCTCAATTGGGTATATTGAGATTACTCTCGGGTTGACATCTCAAAAGACTTATTATTTAGTTTATAACAATAGTGGTATCGTGGAACAGAAAACCACCATTCACTAGACATAGTAGTGTTTCATTTCGTCACACTCGTTGGCCTCTTCTTTCCATAGATTCCACACAGTTGTGTGGGCGTGCCAAAGAATAAGAGGTTTCCAAAACCATGATATAGCCACACAAAAATAAAGTGAAAAGACTATACCTTTCATTCCAGAGCAAGCCTGTCCTGTTACTATTCCGGGACTTGCTGATTCACCTCAGGTGCCTTACGGCACGAACTGCGCAGTCTTTGTGACTATCTGGAACAGCTGGGACAATGCACGCAGTTATTGCTCTGATAAATCCGGCCAGCTGGTGGAGATTGCCACAGAGGTCCAGCAGCAGCTTCTGGTTTCCATGGCGAATGAGGAAGACGACGGATCGCGACCCAACTGGTGGATTGGAGGGTTCCGAGATGACTCGAAGCCAGACGAAGAAGTGCTCTTTCTAGATGGTAAGATCGTGTCGATGGTGAACTTCTGAGTCTTTTAAAGGATCTCGAAAAGGCCTTTTGCGTTATCACATTTGCTCACAGATGTAAAAACTGTGATGATAAGCAAAGGAAGATAAAGGATTAAAAGTAAAGGCGCACCCTCTCGATCCCCTCCTCTCACTGCACAAGGTCGGGCGGACAAGGAGGAAGAAATCTATTAAAAATGCGAAGTTGTTCAGCACATTTGGTTATCTTTTGATGCGTAATTTCTGTCAAATCTTTAAGTCATGGATCTCGTGTGAGCAGGCAGCTATGCCAATAAGACGCTCAGGATCACAATGTATTCTTAATCACTGCTAAAGTTCAATAATAATAATAGCCAAATATAATCCATACTATACAGATATTTCCCTCACTTTTTTTCCTCTTTTACCAACTCTCATATCCAAAGGACCAGCAGTAACAAATCCCTTTTGGGCGCCGGGTCAGCCAAGCAGAGGATTTGAGCGCTGCACCGATCTCTTAGATGACGATTTCAGTTGGAATGATGAAAGGTGTGCGACTAACAGAGGATACATATGCCAGTATCGTAAGTGTGCAGTGGTCGTATTCGCTCTTCAGAGTCGGGGTGTCTCATGATAGTTTTCTGCATGACAGCGCGCGAAAAAGAAACTTTCATCATCTGCAGGTGCTAAGCGATACGGGCACGATGGATGGTTTACCCTAAGAAAGATAGGTCTCAATGTTAGCTTCGGGTCAGCTAGGGTATGCTGGCCAGTGGCACATCAAACATATAAGTGCCTCTGAAATTCCCCCCCCCCCTCCTTTGCACTTTTTGTAAATCAAGATTTCATCTAAAGAGGCTAAGCTAATAAGGGAGACATCGTGGAACAGTGGTTTTTTTCACTTGACTCTCATTCTAAGTGTGGAAGTTTCTAATCCCAGCCCGGCACTAACCTCTTTTGGCAAAACAATATTCCACATTTGCCGCTCTGTAAATGAATAACTGGCACTGCTGGGGTAATACAAATTCACAGGGCTCTTAGGAGGGACAGCACTAATGCAGGGCACGCTTTCCTGGCTAAACAATGTGTTTTATCATTCTTATTATTATCATTGTTTTTTTAATATTATTATTGATACTATTATTACTATTATTATTATTATTACTTTTATCATTATCAGATTTACTTAATCTTAATGGCAGTGAACAGCCTGTAAAAAAAAATCTTTTGTTATTGACAAAAAAAAAATCTAAATATCTTTCTGCAGCTGGCAAACGCGGACCACAACAGTGCAGTGATCCCGGTGCGTCTGCACACGGCACCTACATTACATCTTACCCTAATTGGCTGTTCGGGTCTTACGTCACGTTTTCCTGTGACGCAGGCTACGAACTAGATGGAGGAGAACGGATAGAATGTGGACAAGATGGTTCGTACAGCGGCGATCGTCCCGAATGTAAACGTAAGCTTGGTATATTGATATTGATCACTTGGCAGTTGCATATATCGCTACTGAGCACAGAATTTACGAAATCAAGTATGTAATTGGATAAAGAACATTAGTGAACAAAGTATTTTACAACGGAATACTATACGACAGTCCGTCTTCTCATTTATTTATCTTTTGCGTTAAACATCTTGCCCCCGTAGCGGTTTCATGCAGTTCCTCATTTCCAACATTGCCGAATTCGGATCTCTATGAGCCAAATACGACCGAATATCGGAGTGTGGTCGTCTATCTCTGTCAGGAACAGTACTATCCGGTCGGCGACGTCTCTTCAGTCTGTCAGACCGATAGTAGTTGGAGCCAGCCAACGGGGCGTTGTGAAGGTAGGTCTGTTTATAAACAAAGCAAAGTGTCAATTCAATTGAAATATCTGCAGTTTTTACAAAACATTTATGTACTGAACGGTATGAAGACGTCGGTAAAACTTAATTAAAAGTAGTTGACTTTTACAAGACTGTTAGAAATGTCTTAGTGTTAAAAGTGTACAATATAAACAAAAATCTCCAAGTGTTTTTCATTTATCTAATAGTAGGTCTACTAATCATGGCATTATTATCTAATAATAGGTCTACTTGTTTGTCAATAAACTGATAAGGGTATTATCAAACTGAAACCCATCAATTAGAGGTATAGAGGAAGAGGTGTCGTGGTCGAGTGGATACGTCTCCAGACTGTGATATGCGATTCGAGTCCCGCCGCAGCTCTAATGTCCTTTGGCAAGACATTAATTTGCATTTGCCACACTTGACCCAGGTGATGTTAGTGGGTACCTGGAAGGAATTAATTCCTTGAAATGTTAGGGGCGCCAAAATGGCAGCCATTGGTAAAGGTGGGGTAATAATGTGGAGCGCCAGAAGAATCAAGTCTGTCAGACATGAGCACTATACAAGAACCCACTATTAGTATTATTGTTGTTTATACCATAAATATGATTGCAGACTGCAAGGACTTTTGCAAAAAACGACCTTACGATAATTTCAATAGGCTTATCACGTTTTCGAATAACTTTGGTGGACGTGGAATGATGTAATATTAATGGCAACTTATTTCCCACCCAGAAACGTTACCTACGACATTGGAAATCTCGAGTACCAGCATTTCAACTACTCCATCTTCGGGACCAGGAAATCCGTCAACTCCATCTTCGGGACCAGAAAATCCGTCATCTCCATCCTCAGGACCAGAAAATCCGTCAACTCCATCTTCAGGACCAGGAAATCCGTCAACTGCATCTTCAGGACCAGGAAATCCGTTAACTTCATCTTTAGGACCAGGAAATCCGTCAACTTCATCTTCAGCACCAGGAAATCCGTCAACTCCATCTTTAGGACCAGAAAATCCGTCAAATCCATCTTCAGGACCAGGAAATCCGTCAACTCCATCTTCAGGACCAGGAAATCCGTCAACTCCATCTTCAGCACCAGGAAATCCGTCAACTCCATCTTCAGCACCAGGTAATCCGTCAACTTCATCTTCAGGACCAGAAAATCCGTCAATTCCATCTTCAGCACCAGGAAATCCGTCAACTCCATCTTCAGCACCAGGAGATCCGTCAACTCCATCTTCAGGACCAGGAAATCCGTCAACTCCATCTTCAGGACCAGGAAATCCGTCAACTTCATCTTCAGCACCAGGAGATCCGTCAACTCCATCTCCAGCACCAGGAAATCCGTCAACTCCATCTTCAGCACCAGGAAATCCGTCAACTTCATCTTCAGCACCAGGAAATCCGTCAATTCCATCTTCAGCACCAGGAAATCCGTCAACTCCATCTTCAGCACCAGGAAATCCGTCAACTCCATCTTCAGCACCAGGAAATCTGTCAACTTCATCTTCAGCACCAGGAAATCCGTCAATTCCATCTTCAGCACCAGGAAATCCGTCAACTCCATCTTCAGCACCAGGAAATCCGTCAACTTCATCTTTAGGACCAGGAAATCCGTCAACTCCATCTTCAGGTCCAGAAAATCGGACAACCCATTTTCCAGGAGTGGGAAATGCAACAACTGTGTTTTCAAGAACCACAGCTTCAACAGGTAGGCCCTATTGAATATGGTGACGTTCATATTGATATACATTGGCATCGTAAACAATTGCTTTACTTGGTGATTGCATATAGATGGTGTTTCCCAAATTAGTTTGGTTGTCTGAATTACTTTATAGTTGTCCAATTGGGGTTTTCCTTTCATTCTTGCGATTCACTCTGAAAAGTGCAACACGACAAGCTTTAGTTCTCTTAATTTTATCAGATGCAATTGTGCATCATACTTATACAACATCGATGTATTTTTTGTGTTTAATCTCCTCCTGTATTTTGTTGATATTTGCACATATTTTCCCCTATTAACATTTCTTTCTCACTCACTATCTGTATGTATGTGTGTGTGTGCGCGTGAGTGTGTGCGTGTGTGTGTGTGTATGTGTGCGTCCCCCCCTCTCTCTCTCTCTCTCTCTCTCTCTTTGTTGCTGTCTACAGTTATTATCGTGCCGAATACTACCAATACTCTGCTTCCTCCTGAATCGACCCCAAAGGATGGTAACGTTACGTTTAACCAGTAACGCAATTGCAAAGGTTTTCGGAAAAACATATCAACTTAAGCTATTTCAATAGCTTTATGCATTAATCTTTACCTTTTCAAATGTGCAAACATTACAATGACGCATTACATGAACCGAAAATGATTCCTATGGAATAAAAAATGAAAAATTAACATTTGCGATCGTAGTGTTTCGTCCACCTCTTATATACACACTCTCTCTCTCACACTCTCTCTCTCTTTCACTCTCCTTGTCTGTCTCTTCACCCGCCCACCTCTCTCCTTCGTGCACACACACAAACCCATCTTTCTCTTTTTCTCACCCATAAATAATCTTCCAAAGTGATTCTTCCTTTTATTATAATCCGACTTGTGACAGAACTTAACCCCGTTGACAACTGGATTCTCGTATTCTCATATAGGCTTAATACAGGAGCCACCCGGTTCCAGTAGGCAATGGGATAACGTTTGCAACAACTACCAATGTAACTTCATCGCCTTAAAATAGCAGCCTGCAGATCAAATTTTCATTTAAGCTCTTAACTCACCCATACGTTTCCTTGCAGACAGCATGATCCTTTTGCAATGCGGGTATTTCAGTATGACAGTGACGATCCCGCTCACACTCGTTGGCGGGGTGACGAGCGGTGAGGACCTCCATCTCCTAGACGATGACGACTGCACGGGAATGATCTCTGAAGATAAACGCTTCATCAGTATCACAACTAACCTCACTGACTGCAATAACAAAATAAAGGTTAGACGACAAGTTTGGAAAGTGTATAGGCTTGATGATTGCAAAACGCTAAAACGCACACATGTTCCCATTTAGGACATGATTAGACATTCAGAATAAGTTTAGCTATTTTATTTCACAATGACTGTGTTAGACGAATAGAACCTTATGTGTGATGCCACAGGTTCACTCGTTGCTTATATACATCTACATTGCCTCTTTACATTCCTTACTCTTCCCGCAACAGAGAACATCATAATCACTTCAATCTACTCGAGCTCCTTCCTTTCTCATTCTCCCAATCCCGAAAATAGGCAGGTTTCTAATCCTTTCATTCTGTTGCCGCACGCCTATGGATCAAACTCCCCGCATTTCTGATAAATAGTAGGGCCTGTTTCACTCCTTAAAAAAAAGATACTTCTACTATTCTTTTTTTTTTCCTTAACAAATTATTTGTAATCATGATAGGAGTACGACACACAAATCGTCTACAGTAACGCCGTGGTGGAGAGAACTGCGGATAGCCCGATCACCCGGCTGAAGAAAGTATATGTGCCTTTCTCCTGTGCATACAATCGATCTGGAAACGTGGAACTAGACTCTTACCAGATTACCTATTATGAGCTGAATTCCACCAAAGTTTCAGTCGGGCATTATGAATTCGCGCTGGACATCTTCAAAGACGACGACTTCGAGGAGAAGTATGCCGACTCCGAATACCCTGTAGATGTGAACCTGGACAAGGAGCTGCATTTCGGTGCATCGGTCCCTTCTCAAGACGGTTCATTGGACGTGTCCATCAAGAGTTGTGTGGCAACACCATCTGCCTCGTACAACGATGTACAGTGGACTATCATCCGAGATGGGTACGTTCCTTAAATAATTGTGATGAGGGGTCGAAATGTTAAGATTTCAGGGATATCCTCTTGGAGGCCAGTGGCGGATTTGGGGCCGGTAATGGAAATCCTGTGCCCCTTTTTAAAATCTAACAAGAAGAAATTGGTGGCCCATTTGAATTTTGATGTTACGCCTTTTTTTCCCTTTCTTTTATCGACTGAGTCGACTTGATGGGAATCGGGATCTTCCCGATAGCATATTTAATTATAATACATTTCAGGATAAGATATCATAGGATATGGCAAGATGCTTTGATATGGTTTCGTATGATAGGTCTACGATACGATTTGATTGGAGAGTGGGGTTTTTCTCTTCGTCTTATTCATCCTATCATCAAGTACGTTTACGTAGCAGGATGTTTTAATTACACGTGAAAACAATCATTTATATTAGGGTTTGCCAAATCTAATGAAGCACCATTTACTGTAAATAGGTGTGCCGTGGAGATGTCAACCCATATTGAGGACGAGGCTCTTGGTTTTGTTGGCGTGACCATGAATACATTCAGGTTCGTGGAGCTGGGTAATAGGGTAAGTCACTTAATTTCCCTGAATATAATTTGATTAAAATTAAATGATAATATTTGATTTTCGATGTTTATTTTGCCATTGACACAATAAGGGACCAAGTGAGTCTTAACCAATGTATTTACTCGCGGGACATCTGTTTGGGGCTGTGTCTCGTAAAAAATAGGATTATGTTTGCGATTGGGTTTTAGGTTGTAAGTAGGGTTAGGTGTACATTACTGTCCAGGGTTAAAGTTAAGAATTTGTCTAGCGTAGGAAATCAATGTCGAAGCAATCGAATAAAATATCTGAGAACTCGACAAGCACCATAACTTATTAGGCTACCTATAAAGCGTTATGTATAATTGGCATACCTGTTTCTTATAAAGCGCTTTGCAATTAAATGACCAAATAAAATAGGTGATTTGTTGTAACCTTGGTCACAACACAGTCTAATCTCAATGACGTTGGCATCGTACCAGGTAATCATTTAACACCTAGTAGAGAGACGTTATGTAGATCAACTCCCTTTCTCGTGGATATAAGTGCCGTGCCGAGCCTTGAACCCACGGTCTTTGCATTTCCAGTCCAGTGATGAAACCACTCGACTTCGACACCTTCATAAGTTAATGCTCTTCGGAGGAGCATGATCGCCGTTTTCTGATCATTGTCTTAACCAAGGTACATAGCAACTGCGTAAATGTGTGTTCGGGAAAAGATACCAGTGCCAGAACTCTCAGAAGACTTTAGCCCTCATCTAGCTTCCATGCAGTCAGGCATAATCGACTCCGAATAAATTTGCCAAAACAATTTAGATTGTCCTCATTTCTTCCAATACAATCATTAAATATGGTGACATCTCTCTCTCTCTCTCTCTCTCTCTCCCTCTCTCCCTCTGTCTCCCTCTCTCTCTCTCTCTCTTTTATATTTAAAGGTTTACATCCATTGTGATTTGTTGGTATGTCGGGCAATCACCGGAAATGAGTCCTCGGAATGTGACACTGCATGCGTCGGAACTTCGGGTAACCGAGCCCGCCGCGACGTTGGAGAGAACCGTCTTCAACTGAAGAGGATCATGAAAGGACCATTACGATTGAGAAGAAGAGCCAACATTCACCCATCACTTGATAACAAGTTAGATTCCGAGGGTAAGTCTTTTTTTCCTACTTTTCAACGGGTTTAAAACTATTTTTTTCAGGTACACTTGTAACAATCTCGCCAACTTCAATCTCAGAACCGGATTCCCTACTTTAGGGCCACAATCTTAGTTAATTACTGCATTATTATGTGGTATTTTATACTAATATTAAGAACAAAATTTTGCCCATGACTAATAATTTTTAAATTTGTGTCCACTTTGTTGTTTGCTTGTTATTGATTTTCTCTTTTTTTTTAATGCTTATTTTTCTCACTTTATTCGTTTGTACTTTTGTGTAGAGTTTTTTTTAATTTTTTTTACTGCTGATGTAAAAATTAAGAATGTAAAGTAATAAGATGTTAGAGAATATATTGAAGAATAAATGATATAGAGAATACATTCCAAAATATCATATATCACTTTTACATTTCATGACATACTTTATTTTTACAGAAACGTGGAAATGTTAAGGCAAACTAGTGAGAAAGACTAACCTGTTATTGAATGTAGAAGCATAATAACAACAAGAACTATACAATGAGTTAGTCCATATACAAGATACCCACAAATTGTAAATATTACAATAATTGAGTCTCAATCGAAAAGTGTCAACAAAATAGAAAAAAATGGTGGATTGTTAATTGTGATTCACTATCTCCTCTTCTCCTGTACCAGAAACACCAGCAGTCCATCCAATATTCAACATCTGGATCATGACGATTGTTGCCATGGCAACTCTTTGCGTCCTTATCATCGGCGTGCTTTTCGTCTTGATGCGGAGGATGACGTCTTATGATCAAACGCACGAAGTCGGCAAATGTCCCGAGAAAGGAACCCGAGCATGTTATTGAACAAATTTATTCAATGAGACACATCTGATATAATTATGAATTATCATTTTCTGGCATATAATATAGCTTATATACATGTTTTATTATAAAATAAGAAATTATTGAGATTTGCACCGAGTACTTTAAAACGTGTAGACAATAATAACACTATAAATAAACATACAGGCAGTATAATATAGATTTACGTAGATAGAGGAAAATATATACAATTTTATAGACGTGTGTATATGTATGTTTTAGTAAGGTTTTTGAGAGTGTTTATATGAAATACACAAGGAAATACAATAGCTATATCAGCTGAAAATCCCCCCTTTTTCAAATTAGATGTGTTGATATTGATTAATTCACACAGTTGATCAGACGTTATCCTGACCGGCGGGTGGGGGGGGGGGCACATGTGTGCAAATACTATTAATCACCTAAAGGCATGTTCCGACTACGTTCACAATTTGTATCAATCATAAACTATCGAGAAAATGATCACATTTTATTTGTCCGGAGTTACACAATTTTGACAACAACTGAGGTTGTACATAAGACATGCGCCTTGCCAACTGTAGAGCGAACACATGTATTGTTTAAAAACACATTTAATTCGTAAATTTTTAAAGAATCTGTTTATCCACAAATGTAATAACATTTCGCCTCCAAAATGTGAATAAAATCAATTTTGATCTCAAATGTCAAAACATGTCAACCGCTCATGTAAAGTAACATTGTTGGCATAATGTACCGATGTTAGATAAGTTATTATCAGGTGTCTGTGTGTGTACGGTTGAAGAGCGATGCCAGAGGCGATGCTCTAGGAGGGGGGGGGGTGCTGGAGGGGCCCCCACATTTTGTCAAGTGCCCCAAAGTGCCCCTCTTATGTAGAAAAGTACCCCTTTCTAGGGAAGATGAATGCCCTTATTTGTGAAAAGGAGAGATGGGAGGGGGCAATAATATACAAATATTGACTGCTCATGAGGATGATGGTGGGAAATATCACTCCCAAGGTAGTGTTTACACCGGCCCTTCTATCATCCCCGAGGCGAAGCCGAGGGGGTGATAGAAGGGCCGGTGTGAACACCACCGAGGGAGTGGTAGTTCCCACCATCATCCGATTACAGAGCAGTCCATATTTGTTTTATATACCTCATCCTTTTTATTGATTCATGATTAGGTCTAGCTGTAGGTCTAGATCTAGCTCTAAAAACAGGAAACGAGATCAAGAGGAATTTACTAACCCAAATAAGAAAAATCCAACATCAAGTCCAAGGCAAGAGTATTGAATTCCTACGCGCTGCGCGTAACCGCGCGATTGCGGTAGCCTAGCAACTCAAAAAATTTGTGTGCGCAACTAAGTCGCGGGAGGGGTTAGGGGTCCTATCCCAGGGTTTGATAGTAGCTATCAACCCCTCTGACGTAATGATACTTGATAGATCGAAATGCTCCTTGACATGTGATATAGTTTTGACCAATCAGTGAATGACAATCTATGTATGAGGTATATAATGCCCCATAAGAGCTCACTGTGGTCCTTGTATAAATATAATCGTGCTTAAACAGTATATAGGCTTACGGTTGCACCATGTGAGAGAGGGGGACTAGGGAGTCCTGTAACGGACTGTCGGTAATCTTAAGAGCACATTTTTTTAAATTTTGTTTTTGGTCCCGAATATTTGAAAATCGCACCGGCCGCAAATTCGCTCAGTAGGGGGGGGGGGGTGCACATTAATTTTTTGGGGGGCCGGGGGGCACGTCCCTGTTTTCCAGTACATTTTTGGCGAATCTGGGGCTGATTTGAACACTTTTTTGGGGGGAGCGGGGGGCACGTACCTCCTGTGCCCCCCCCCCCCTGGATCCGTCCTTGACTGCTTAACCCTAAAAAGGCCGGGCTATTTGAGGTCTTAGTACGGCCGGGGGGCCATTATGGTCCCTTGAAGATCTCGGCCGTGAATCGGCCGATCTCCGCGAAAATGTGCACGCATGTCGCGTGAAGTGTATAGAATAATATGATAATTTCAATTTTTTGAAAAATACACTTAATTGTATATTCATGGTAATTTATGCAAATAAGGTCATAAAATCATATTTTTACCCATAAATCATATATTATTCATATCTAAGCGTTCTTTTTTCACTACACATATTCATTAGACCATTTGGAATAAAAATACCAAAAACAATTCGGAAGAGCCAGCTTATTCTTTATGTTATCTCTTTTTTTGACAAAATTTCTTATGTATTTCACTGTTTTTTAAACTTATGTATTTTATTGTTTTTGTTGTTTTATTTCATTTCTTACTACAATTCAACTATTTTGACTCCCCCAAAAACCACCTAAACTTTATACTTTTCAGTTGGGTGTGATGGCCTGGTTAAAAATTTTCAGCGAGTGAAGCGAGCAACAACAAAAAAATTATAAAGAGGACAAAAAACAAACCCTGACGAGTTCTAAGCATAATCAAATGAAGAAAAACTGAAAAGTTCTTTATAAGTAAGATATAATAACTCTTGGATGGGTGCATGTTACGGCGAAAGTAAAAAGGCCAATTATCAGAGGTGAAATGGGGAACTTCCTAATAAGGGCATTTATCAGATGTTAAATGGGGCATTTTGAAAAGGGGAAGTGGCTCATATAAAAAATTGGAAAAGGGTACTTATCCGAAGGAAATATGGTACTTATTAGAAAGGAAAAAGTGAACGAGTCAAGATTAAAAAAAAGGGGGGGGGAGGAAATATTAGGTGAAAAGGGAAGTTTCTCACAACTGAAAAAAGGCACTCAACAGATATAAAAAGGGGCATTTCACAGAACGGAAAGGGGCAAGTATATACAAAAAAGCGGGCACTCATCAGAGATGAACAGGTGCACTCATCAAAGAAGAATAGGAGCACTTATCAGAAGGGGAAGGTGGCAATTGTTTACAAAGGAAAAGGGGCCACGTGTTAAAGTTAAACGTATACCAGTCTGATGTGAATAGGGGCAATTATCAGAGGTAAAGGGTGAACTCTTTAGAGGTTGGAAGGGATGCTTCTAGTACCTGGCACTTAAAATAAAAAAGGGCACTTACATTTAATTGATCGACGTCCTGGGGAGGGGTCTAAACAAGTTCAACCGATCTTGGAAATTGTTTGGGGGCACGTGCCCCCCGTGCCCCCCTGCTTATTGCCTGCTTATGAGAATGGAAAAAGATACATATTGCAAAGGAAAAAAGGCAGTTGTCGAAGGGAAGGAGCGCTTATCAGATTTTAATAGGGGCATTTATCAGAGGTGAAAGGGACATTTATGAGAAATTGAAGGAGGTGCACTTATGCACAGCCGGCTGCAGGGAAGGGGGCTCAATTTGTGAGAAAATATTTAGCGGCGAAATAGCCGACCGATAATTCGCTCAGTGGGGGGGGGGGGGGGGTAGTGAGCACCATTTTTTTTTTGCCCTCGAAAATTTGAAAAATCGCACCCCCCCCCCCCCTTGAGCGGTCCCATCTCCAAAAAAAAGGGTAAAATTAACGGTAAAAATTACACTTCGTAGGTGCCCCTTTTTTATCCGAATTGTCTATTTGGGTCCCCCCCCCCCCCCTCCCCTCACACACACACACTGAAAGATGCTCCATCGTCCCTGATGACAATTCAAATTTCTTTGGTCTCTCAGTAGTCCTTGCAATTACGGAAAGAGGGAGAGCGTCTGATAGATTATATAGGGTGTAATGTATTTCTGTCGGCTAATTTGGGTGTCACTCCCTAAAAATCTGTCGGCATATTTGAGTGTCACCTCCCCCTCCACCACCTCCACCTCATGACCTAGGGCGTAGCCAGGATTTAAGGGCCCTAGGGGAGTTTTTGTTGTTGCCCAATTCGTGCGGGGAGGGGGTACATCATCTCCCCCCCCCCCCCTTAAGCAAAACAACACCTCCCCCTTAAATCTACTCTGGAAAAGCTATTCAAACCTTCCCCACCAATTTCTTTTTATTGTTATTATTAAAGCCCGAAGTCATCTGATTCTCATCGGGTACTGAGCGTTCTATTCGAGCAGGTAGCATATATTGGCACGAGCTTTAGTGGAGTCATGAATATTCATTAGTCCCTACGTCACTGACGTGCGGCGTGCGTAGTGTGTCATATACACAATGTACTAGTACACGAGTACGTCTGTAAGTATTAGAACATGTACGTCGCTCCGGAATGAAGAGAATCGCTATAAAGGACGAATTACTCCGTGAAGCCAAGTACGAACAGAGAATTGAAAGCAACTACACTCCCTAATCTAGCTAGTTTTGTAATAACAAATAGGTTTTTTTTCCCATAATAGTTTACTCTTTCGTGGCTTCATACTAAGGAACCTTCAAAAAGATGATTTGTAGAAAAAAGAAAACTGAAGAAAAGAAAACATGTGCACCCAGCAGTTCAATGCAGTTCCTACCTACCTAGGCCTACCTAAACCCACCTACAAAATATTACTTGCATGTTGCTTAAATAGTTGACAGCCACAATATTTAGTAAAATAATAGGCGTTTCGTGTATTTTAATACTGGTAAGTTGCTCGATATGATTTGATTCGATATATATCTCATTAATGAAACCATCTTAAGGCTATAAGTCTCAAACATAATCTTCACCATTAAACCGAGTGCCAGCAGCATTAAACCATGCCCCCAAATTTAGTGATCTTCTTTTGGATATCGAAAAACCGAGGTTTCACTGGTTTATTTAGCAAAATGAAAATTGTAATACTATAATGTTCGATTACATCACTCAGTATATGATTTGATCAGATATCTATCTCATTAATGAAACCATCTAAAGGCTATTATAGTCTCAAACAAACCTGCACCATTAAACCGAGGGCCAACACCATTAAACCATGCGCCAAATTTAGTAATCTTCTTTTGTGCATCGAAAGACCGAGGTTTTCCGGGTTTATTTAGGGAATTGGAAATTTGATACTGGTAAGATGCTCGATAACATCACTAAGTCTGATTTGATTAGATATATATATATCTCATTAATGAAACCATGCAAAGGCATTGTGGTCTCAAACAAACCAACACCATTAAACCGAGTGCCAACACCATTAAACCATGTGCCAAATTTAGTAATCTTCTTTTGTGTGTCGACAGACGAGTATTCACGGGTTTATTTAGAAAAATGGAAATTTTATACTAGTAAAATGCTTGATATTAAACATCGGTCATTATATGATTTGATCCGAGATATGTGTCATTAATGAAACCATCTAAAGGCATGCTAGTCTCAAACAAACCATCACCATTAAACCGAGGGCCAACACCATTAAACCATGCGCCAAATTTAGTAATCTTCTTTTGTGCATCGAAAGACCGAGGTTTCCCGGGTTTATTTAGAGAATTGGAAATTTGATACTATAATGTTCGATTACATCACTCAGTATATGATTTGATCAGATATGTATCTCATTATGAAACCATTTAAAGGCTATTATAGTCTCAAACAAACCTGCACCATTAAACCGAGGGCCAACACCATTAAACCATGCGCCAAATTTTGTAATCTTCTTTTGTGCATCGAAAGACCGAGGTTTCCCGGGTTTAATTAGGGAATTGGAAATTTGATACTATAATGTTCGATTACATCACTTAGTATTTGATTTGATCAGATATATATCTCATTAATGAAACCATCTAAAGGCTATTATAGTCTCAAGCAAACCATCACCATTAAACCG